AGGTACCAAAGTGAAATTTAATACATACTTTATAATCCAACTTCTGTGGACACGATCGGTTGAAATAACCAGAGTGAAATTTCATAGGGACCTACGGCTATGGGTATTGTGCTTAGTGTGGAACTTCTGATGACCAGAGTGGGATAATGACAAGATGTGCCTAAACACATCAATATCATCGACAAAGACAAGCTTTAGCACCTCTTGCACCTCCCCTTTATTCCACGCGAAATCTCACAACCAAGGCAAAAATGTGTCGGACGGTCCGGATCTGCTTTATTTTAGTCTCAGACAACCTTCCGAAATTCCAAGCCGCTACTACAACTACCACTAATAATTCACCAACATATTTTCTTGCTGACCAACATAATATTAATATAATGTACTGAAATTAGGTTATCACCTTGTCGTCCTAGAGCAACCATTTCTTGAGAATGCCTACCCAGCAGACTCTAAAAATTTTAAATGGTGGGGGTGCCCTCGAGCCAATGCATCCATGGATGATCTTGATGTATTTTTTTAAATTTATCTATATTGCTAGATCCAAGTCCTTTTCGGATAAAAATGTTAAGCCATTTCGTAGCAGTGGGCAGACACAGTGACCGTCCACAAAGTAGGATTGCCCGTCCATGTTTGGCTAGACGAGTGGGTAGGGCTAGCCTGATGCAGCGTGAAATGCACACGTATGCCTGTGCATGTTTGTGCCTTTCTAGGTAGCTTAGGATTATCATGGCTCAACTGGCATCATTTTGACACGACCGTCTCGAATCCAGGTGATTGCATGCTCGACGCCCCTTTAACTGTGTCGTCGTGTCAATCCATAGTTCTACATAACATAGGGCACCACACGAATGTGCGTGCGTACGTGCATGCATCATTGATTCATGGAGTGACCGAGTGAGCTGGACTAGCAGGCAGAGACCTAAATCCTTTCTCCCCATTTTGCTAGGGGTAGATCGGTGATCGTATAGGTGCCCCGATCCACGGCTAGCTATAGCAGCATGGCTTTGTGAATGCTTAACTATATAGAATCGAATGGTGAAATATTACACCCTCTGTTCGTGAACACAAGATGTTTTGGATATTATGAATTACATACGGACTGAAATGAATGAATCAACAAACTAAAATGCATCTATATACATCTGATTCATAAAAAGGTAGAACATCTTATATTTGTGAACAAAGGGAGTATTTGATTAAACCATGATAATGAAAAATAATCATCATTTGCTATATAAAGATGATTCACCTTGCAGTGCTTTCAGTTGTGAGTCGTAGCACAATGCATGAACACCAAAGTAACATGATAAGGAGCATAAATAAGACATGCAGAGCCGAATGAAATGTTTTCCTAGGGTTTGCTAGAGATGAGGTGATCAGGAGACGACTAGCTTGTCCCCTCTACCCATCGGCGGCGTCGCGGGTTCCCCTGGCACCCGTCTGCCATTGCGGCAGCGGGAGGATGGAGGAACCCCTAGTCGAGTTTCCCGGTCAGTGTGTCGTAGGATCTTGGAGTTTGTCTTCATCGGTGAAGTTGGGGCAGCGTCGGCAATGCGAATAATGGTTTCTAGACTTTCTCTATATCAATGTTGTTCCTCGGAGTGACATCAACGAGTTGCGGGATGGTGAAGATTGTCGGACACTCAGTCTAGCGAGGTTAGCTTTTGTTCACGACAGTGACAACCTACAAAGGGGATGACATTGCACTTGTTTTTGTTCTACATTTCCATTTTTGCCCGATGAAGCTCGGCAAGATATGGCTCCGTCGGGTAACTTGTGAGGTTTGTGTCCACCTTCTCTCTCCGGCTGGAGTTGGCATTATCTTCTCGCCCTCTTTGGTGTTGGATTCTCCTTTACGGCAATTCTTTCAGTTTGGGATTGCCAGTGTCTTCTGATTTACATTGAGAACATCCTGGCCAATCCTTCTACAAACTTCTGAGTTTCGACAAAGTTGCTCCGATGAGATGGAGGCCGAGAGGTGTCAACGAGTATTTCTCATGCCGCGTCACGCATCGCAAGTGGATGCAGAAGGAGGACAATGCTCATATCTTCAAAGACTGCCTGTAATTTTTTATTCTTCTTGTAAGGAAGTTCTTATAAGATTTTGTTTTATTTAATAGCCTTCGGCCTTTCTGAAAAAAAACATGAAAGCGGTGATTATCCTTGTTTCAGATGGCACAACGTATACCTCCTAGCTGTATGATTTGCAGCAGTTTCGATCTCCATATATCCTCTAAATCTTGATTATTCCTGCCACGATTCTTTTCACAAGATAAAGTGTAATTTAGGCAGATACCGACCGGCCGTGTTTGGAGGCAAAGATCTCATCCTAATCAAATCTCATCTCAAGAATTAAGTAACCAAAAGGAACACGTGCAATAATCACTGCACCGTATCCAAACCAAGGATCACAAAGGACAATTGATCTTCGAGAACCTAGAACAATATTTTCATATAAGATCGCAATCAGATTACTGCAGGATTAAGCATGACAAGACAAACTTGCGTGGATGCATGCATGCATGCATATTGGGGGTTCGAGCATCAAGAACCATCGGCCAACTACAGTTACTATATTGGGAGTATATATATATTTCCTTTAAAAAGAGGAGTTATTTTTTGTTTTTGTAGTAGAATGATATGTTCTTGGTAGGCGGTGATTTGAACTTGATGCGGCTAGCTAGTGCGTGTGTGCGGCGTATATTATGTTGTA